TTTGACGCATGCGCATTTGCATAAATGTCTACACACACACATACACACTACACACAATAAAAAACATAGGAAATAGCAAGAGTGATTACAATAGTTCCTATTGCATTACATGCATAGGAACTAAAAATGTAAACTTTTCAAAAATTCGGCCAAATTCGGCCAAATATAGTTTGGCCGTGACTTTAACAATGCTACGGACAGGCAAATTTTTATACAGCCAGATTTGAAGAATCTGGCCGTCAAAAAGGCCAAATGGCAACCCTGATGCATGATGCTCCGATCGAGATTGACGGCGGTAGCTCGAGATTGGACTCCATTCACCAGACGTTTTCTTGCGAAGCATGTAGTTTTCGATTGTGAATTATTTATTTATGCAGTATTGAATAAAGAAGTTAATAATAAAAAAATAAATACAATGTTTTAAAAAGTGTTGTTGTTTATTTATTATAAAGAAACAATACTAATAATAATGTTCATATCTTTGGTTGGTCAAATATGAATTAGCAGGAGTTAATAAAGTGTTTACAGTATTGTATGTATTTGTTTATCTGCATCTGCGTATTCTGGAGGTCTGACGCACTACATGGGAAAACCCAGAGAGTTAAAAATAGTCGTAGAGTGGGAAATAGTTGTTAATCATCGTGTGGGAAACAAATGAGACAATGCGTTTTGTGTATAAATATGGTTCGAATACATCAGGGTCCGATGTAACAAACAGTATAATGATGATATCAAACAGAATTAAAATTTTATGCTTAATTTATCGCGCTTTGAGGTATTTATGTGTGCCTTAGTCCAACTTAATGCGACGATTTTTCTTAATGGGTATTCTTTTCTACAGCTTTCTTAATGGGTATTCTTTTAGTGTTGGGCCTTCAATTACGATTCTCATGATCGCATCTAATGTTTCTTCCTTCATTCTATTTCTTAGACATGTTTTTAATAGTTTCATTTGGGAAAAGTCGCGTTCTACGCCGGCAGTGTGCGGTGGGATTGTCCTGTATGATTCAGTTAGTACTGCAATGTTTGGATACAGCTGTCTCATTGGATTTGTACTCAGCAACTTTACTACTTCGCTGCTTGTTTTTGTAGCATAGTGGTCGATGATATACTGCTTAAGTTCCAACCATTCTTGATTCAAGGCCTGCTTGTGCGGGAATAGCGAAATTGTACAGTAATCATGAACAGATGCTCTCTGGTTAAGTAATATATTTGAGAATATATATATATGAAAACTAATTCAAAAATGTGCCTGTAGAATATAACTGGCATTCATGTAACACTTTGTCGCTGTACATTAAAAAAATGTTTGCTGTAAGCTGTGATTTTATGCTTTATTCTTAGCCTTCCGACCAGTGATTGCCACGGGTCGCGTAGCGCACAGCGTACGGGACATTCACAATCCCCATAGGCTAGGCCTACTTCTCTTTAAAAAATGTCCAAGTTTTACCATCGCTATATTTTTCTCCCTTTGATGTATATTGGCTTAACCTCTCCGACATAAATGTTGGAACATTTGTCAGTGATTTGGTAAAAGAAATTTCACTTCTAAAAATACAGACACTGCAATTCTGATGTCGTTTACAACAGACATTCAGCGATTTAAACTCGCTTCGGCCATCTTTACAGTGTATTAACTCGAGCGTTCAAAACAATAACAAACTCAATACCGCATACAGATCACGTGACTGATAGGACACAAAGTGTCAATTTCCAGCTGATCACACAGTTTACTGTTCAGTCAAGTAGAACGTGAGCGTCCAATCAGCGCTAAAGCCTGGCAGTTCCACTTGGTTGGTTTTCCGATGTTTTATTTGCTAGGCTGCTTGCATGAGGTTTGAGGCTAGAAATATGTGATGATATCTCGCGAAAAAAGTAAGAATTCGGGATTGGCGGATATGTATGTTTGACACTGGGAGGAATTTGTGTGGAGGTTGAAAAATACAGGGGGAGTCTTTATGGCCCAAAATAGTGATTTTATTAATGTAATTCGACAGGCAAATTACAGTAATATTTTTACCAAATTTCTTTGAAAAAATTTCGTGGGCATAGGGCCTAGGCCTAGCTAGGTATACAGTAATTCCATTTTACAGTAGTTTGGAACGATTTAAGGAGTGGGGGTGGTGGCAGTGGCCTACAATTTATTTGAAGCTATCTTGGGTCCGATCGTTCACACAAGTTGGGCCCAATCGTCTGCCACCCAGGTTTTCATTACGATCGATGATCAAGAACGTAACAATCTGGGCCCTAGGCTAGGCTTAGATTGCTCTGCTACGTATACTACTACCGCATAACAAAGAAAGCAACCCACGCGGTGCATTCTTAAATTGTACACAAATTATTAAAATGTATTAGATGATAACACGACCGATATCACTGACTGAACGATCTACCACACTCGCATCGCAGTAACTACTGTACTGACGAACTAGGCCTAGCTTAGGCCTAATGTTTTTGTGGAAAGTTAGATAGTCGTTATGTACCCGACAGTCGACTGCCTTTATATCTTCACTTGTCTTCAATTTGTATTCAAAGGGTACATTGCTGCATAGCCAACTGTCGGGAATATGGTACATTCATACGACCAGACTCCATAGAGATAATAATAAAAATACTAGAGCGCTAACCACAATGTATTCGATGTTCGAAATACACAGAACTGTGTGGGTACCATCCAAGATGGCTGCCATAGATATAGCCAATCAAATTTCGCTAAGCACCATCGTTTGCAATTGCGCCCTCAATTTACTCAGAGGGTTCAGTACAGCTAGCTACCCGTATGTTTGAAACTCGAGCCTTGCGGTGTTGGGTATAATGTACACGATTTTAATTTTCATTCCTTGGTACTTTATTTTTGAATAAGATGCTCCACTTGGCCTCGTTTTGGCTACAATAGTTTAATAATTTGTAATTACCATTAAACATTATCATTAATTAAATAACAGTCAGTCAGAAGGCTTATTAATATGTAATAATATATATACTAAGCCTGAAGGTGGCGCTTTACTACGACGGCCATCTT